GTGGGTGTGTGTGTGTGTGTGTGTGTGTGTGTGTGAGAAGTTGTCTGGGGGAGTTGAGTCCGAGTAGCTCTGTGTCCTCTCTGCCTCTGTGTCCTCTCTGCCTCCACCTCCTGGAAGCCAGCAGATGGATGGTGCCACTGGCGCCAGGGCCACCAGGTTGCTGGACATACTCTGGCAGGGAGGAAACACGGCAGGCGGAAAGCACCTTGAGATGCTAGTATCTTTGGGACGGGCATTTTCAAAGTTAAGAGCCTCGGGAATGTGGCTGGGGATACTAAAGCTAGCCTTCTAATCAGCACTGAATTTTCTTGCTCTCGCTTTTTAAAAAAAAAAAAAAAATTCCTTATCTTCTTTTGGCCTCTTGCCAGAAGAAGTGAGAAGCAGTTGACTTTATCCACAATCTGTGCCTTCGCTTCTCACCAGCCCTGTGCCAAAGGGCATGCTCCATCGTCAGTCCCAGCAAGCTCGCCCCAGCCGGTCCTCTTGGAATCGGCCGAGCTCAGGCTCCGCGCCCAGCAGAGAAGCCCCTGCGCCCCGCTTTTATCCCTCGCCACCCTTATCTTTATTGCCCACACCTACTGTGATTCACTTGGTTTTCTTCCAGTGTAGCGCCTCTTGTTAATTTGGTGGTTTTTCTGGGGAAAACATAGCTCTGACATAATTTTGCCTAAGGAATTGAACTTCAAACAGAGCTCGTGATAACCTCCAGGAAGAAGACTTTTTCTGTTCTCTGTACTTGAATGAAATGTTGCTACTAAAACAGGCATCCGGGTTGCGCCATCTGACCCTAGCGAGAAGGTTTATATCCATTGCTGTGGAAGGTTTCCCCCTTCGCTTGTCAGGGATTTCTGAGAAGCAAAATGTGTCCCTCCTTTCCCCACCCTGCTGCCTTTGGATCATGGTATTTGGGGGCGGAGGAGTCTTACCCTCGCTCTTCCACTTTGTCACTTTGATCTGCATCTCCTTATTTACGTAGATGGGGATGGTCATGCTGGCCCCTCCGGAAAGTGTGAAAAATTTATGGCTCTGGATTCCATGTTCTATTCATGGATGGCATTTCCATTGACTCCAAAAATGCATCCTCTCGGTCAGGCCTAAGGGTATGCCAGGCTTGCCCAGGAATCTTCAAAAGATGAGTAGTGTTTGAGTCCTGCTCTTAGTGTGATTTGAGGACTGCATCAAATGCTTCATGTGTTGACATGCCGGCTGCTCATTCCTGTCCTGGTTCCTGTTTTCCCCCTAGAATGCCACCCCACCTGCAGGCAGTGTCACGGCCCGTCCGAATCCAACTGCACGTCCTGTCACCCTCATGTCACTAGTACCGGTGGAAACTGCAGGACCAGCTGCAAAGAAGAGCAGTTCCTCAACCTTGTGGGGTACTGTACTGGTGAGTGATACCCCCTCAGAGTCCCAAAGAATAGCTGGGATTAAGCTAGAGGGAGGTCAGGCAGAGTCTCTGGCTGTGACTCCACCAGGAGACAGGCACAGAGGAAGCACATGTGAGCCATTCACGGCCAGTGAGTGATCCAGCCTGGCTGAGGAACGTGCTTTGTATTAAGGCGTAGTAGATGAAATGGTTGGAAAACTTAAGTGGGAACCAAGGTATAGAAAACCCACAATTTCAGGCCAAAATATTTGGGTGGAATTTTGTGGGCAATACAGCCGTGAGTTTTGGAGAGGACTGTGACTTGACAAGGGTGTGTTATGGGCAGGACGTGTGCAAACTGTGTAGGAGGTGGACTGGAGCAAGGAAAGATGAGAGTCAGAGACAGGAGTTAGAAGGCAGGATCCTCATTATGGTTTTTCTGTTTCCAACCTATTCAGCATGTGGACCTTAAAATTTTTATGCTGGGGAAATTTTTAAAATAAGTATTTATATAGAGAGATTGGAAAATTTTAATTTTTAATGAGCTTTGTTCTCTCCGATGTCCAGAACCCTCTTTGAGAGTAAGTTAGGTGATTAGAAGTACATTAATTTTTTAAGGCTAATAAGGGGACCATTAGAATAAAGAATCATGGGACTAGGCTAAATGATTCTGGAAATCCCTAGCCCTAGAAGAGCAGGTCCCACTAGAATGGCTAGGGATGAACCTTGGCTGTCCTGGGCACTAGGTATATTAAGTATACATTGTAAATAAGATAACCATTGTCTGGTGCTTGGATATCCTTTGTTGAATAGAGACTGGTGTGTGGGTGTGTAGTATAAAAAAAGTGACCAGTAATTTCAATTGGTGATCTTTCAGAGAAGTGTAGTGACCACGAAGCTTACTTTTCCAATAAATATGTCATTTCCAAACACCTCCCACTTCTCTCTGTAGCATTGCAATGCATTTATTCATTTACTGCTTCATCAAACATTTATTAAGCACATGCTGCATGCCAGGCACGGTGCTGGGCTCAGGGGATGCAAAGATGAGTAAGAGCTAATGCTTGCATTCAAGAAGCATACAGTGTAAGAAGGAAGGGGATGTGTGTTGAATATTATATTGATGTGAATATGAGATGAGCCTGTGGGACAGGACTCCAACCCAGATCAGACAGGGGGGTTGTTTAGAGTGGGTATGGAAGGCTTTCTGGAACATTTCATAACGGAGATGATTTTGAAATATTGAGAGGAGTTTGGAGATTTGGAAGGAAGAGCATTCCAGAAAATGGGCCAAAGAATATTATCTGTTCAGGCACCAACAAAGAGTTAAGTAGAATGCCAGCCCCTAGTATGGGAGTGATGGGGCTTGAAGCAGAAGGCGGGGGGGCCAGGTCATGGAGGCCTTTGTATTTTCTGTTTAAGGAGAACATACTTTGTTATCAAGGCTGTGGGGATCTCTTCAAGGTTTTTAAGGAGAGGAGTGTGATGGTCATGTTTCTGTCAAGAGAGAGATCTGCAGAAGATTGCTTGCAGGAAGACAAGACAGGAGCAGAAAGGCCTTTTAGAAGGTAGTTGTAGGAATGCAGATGGTTGATGAAGGCCTTTCATGAGAAAATTGCTGAGAGAATGAAGAGAAGGGGGCATGGCTTCACTAAGTATTAATTATGTGTTACGTTGCCCATGTGAGGTTGCTGTTTTGTGGGCACAAATGGTCAGATAGTGGCAATTTCATTGGGTTCAACCTAACACAATAGTCTTCCCACACCTGTGGAAGAAGCATTCCAAGACCCCTAGTGGATTACCAAACTATGGGTGGTACCAAACCATATATAT